CTAAGCACTTGCTTCCTTGGTCTGCATCCGTAAGGAATATGTGATTAATAGTTTGAAACATTGCCAGATTGGCAAGAAACTGGCCCACATGTTCAGGTACTTTAAGAAAAGGGAAGGAACATGCTGTTACACCAGCCCTTCTCCTTAGGAAACAAAGCAATGAGCGCTCACGCGCTTGGGAGGGGCCCTTCCTGCACAGCCGAGGGAGTCCAGTTGCCTACAAAGTAGGCTGGAAAACTGAGGCTCTGCATCCTAAATCACATCTGAAACATTGGGCTTCCATTTGAAAAGTGGCCCCCAAGCCTAGACCATCCTTCTGGGTGTCTGCTGTGGGAGGAGGTGGCTCTTCTCCCCACGGCCACGGGGATAGGGAAGAAGTGTTCCATGTCAGACTTACCAAAAGACCCTGTGCAGAGAATGGTGCTCCGGACAGGCTGGGCCAGTCTCTGTCCCCTGCACATGGTGCTTTTGATAGGGTTCCTCACCCCAAACATTCACTCTGGATGCACCTGGACTCAGGACCACATTAGCTTGAGGTAATGTGTCCAAGACTTTGGCTCTAGAGATAGCGGGTGCAGTGTGCTCCCCTTGCCTGCCTTCCTGCCAAGGTGTGCTAAGCAACCACGGGAGAGGACTACAGCACAGCCGTGCTCCATCTCACTAGCTCCCCTGATGAGCAACACCAGATACTTTCTGCCCACTAGCCCTTTACTCAGCCTTTGTCAGAGCTCATAAATGAATCCAGGAAGGCTGGGGCTGTACGTCTTCCCCAGTTATGCTAGCCAGGTGATTTGTGTTTCCGTACAAATGCTCTTTGAGAGGCTTTCCTCTCTGCACGTCTGGATGGCACTGGGCAGCAAGGAGCTGCGTTTATCCAGGATAACTGCTCATGCCCCTGGGCCTCCTGCTCAACCACATCACCCCATTTCAGGCTGAGTCCAGGGGAAACTGCAGGGCCCAGTTAAGGCTCCTGTGCTCCAGAGAGGTCTGTGAACATGCAGAAAATTATCTCCTGACTGCAGATTTGTTCTGCTGCTCTGGGATGCTGGGGGTTAACAAGTGCTTTCAGGTCATTTCAAGGATGCTGTTGGCAATGTGGACTCTGCTGCATGGTATATCTAGCCTGAAGAAGGGTGAGGAGGGAAAGCGGATGGACATTAGAGATGCAGAAGTCATGATGTAGCCTCAAATAAGATTTAGAAGAAAATCTTAGGCTATTCACAAGAGCCTCTTTCAACCAGCTACTCTCTAGCTTTCTCAGAAGACAGAGGGGGGTGATAATTCCCAGCCATTTGCTGCCTAGAACCGAACAAAACATTTTGACTTCAAGAGCTTTTTAAGCAGACCATCTGCACATCTCTAAGACCTAACCTGCTTTAGCTCAAAACAAGCTGTCAGGCCAGGCTGGACACGTTTGATTTGGCAAGTGCCTCTGCAGCTAGCGGAACAACTTACCCAACCCAAAGTGTCTCTCTGCCCTTTGTGGCCACCAACAAGCCCCGACAGTGACATGCTCGCAGCTGGATTTCCTCTGTTGCCTCTCCTGTGGCCCCAGGAAGGAAGCCATGGGCCTCTCTCCAGGGCTGGTCAGAGCAGGATGGTGTAGCTTAGCTCCAGAGCACGTTCCCAGGGAACGTCTCTGTTGGATAAGCCCTTCGACTGAGCTGGCACTGCAGTGTCCTGCCTCACTGCAGATCCAGCAGCACTGTTGCTCCCTGTCGCCCATCCATGTCAGCATAGAGGGCTTATAAACAGCAGTCCCGACAAAGCTGTGTTCTTCTGCCAAAATTCATTTTGTCTCATTGATACGGGAAAAGCATCCAGTCAGCATGTTAAACACAGAGAGATGGAGAAGCCCCTTTTCTCCAATTGCTTTTCTCAGTGCTCCACTACCCATGCTGTTAAGGGTAAAGTTAAGCGACCTTCCCAGCAAATGCAGAAGCTTCTCTATCCATTTGTTTTTCTGGGGTGCTAGAGGAAAAGTAGCATTTTTTGGTGGTGCTGTAGTTACACCTGTGACTTCCATGGCCTTGTAGTGCGTTGTCATTCCTTGCTTTCCTCATGCTCCCATCAGCCGAAGAAGCAACTCATCCCGTGAAGGGCTCAGCATGGACTTTGCACCAACCCTTCATGGGCCACTCCAGGAAATAAGGAGCCATGTGCAATGAGAACATGAACTATTACTATTTTCCTGCCCACTGGCTTTACATTGAATCACTTTTTGGCCTCTGTAGTGAGAGGAGTTGAGTATTTGCAAGGAGATGGCCTGTCTGCACTCATCTGTGGGGAGAGGAGCAGAGTCCTGAGCAGCACAAGCATTTCTTCTGAAGGGAGTCCTCTTAAAGAGGGGCTGAGGGCAGATCTAGGAGATAAAAATGTTCTCAAACCTACTCTGTGGGTAGCAGAAGTGTCTAGCAGAGACAGACAATATTTGGGTCTTGTTTTTTGTGGGTAAAACTGCTCAATTCCTAGAATTTTTATGCTGGATGAGAACAAGCCAGTCTGAAGTAACCAACAATCTTGTGGGCAGGGTGCTTGCCTGACTGGGTTCATGCTCTGCCCACACTGAATTTGGGATCTTATTTTAGGATGGATGGTTTTCTGGGGACCTCTAAATGAAAGGGTATGCCTCTCAACCTCTTGGAGAGGAAAATCAGCCCTGCAAGCTCCAACCCCCCTTTGAAAAGCACACTCTTTAGTTTCTGGTGAGCTCAGCAACCATAACTGCACCCCTGGGAAGTTTTCTGTGAAACTAGATGCCTTCTGGAAGGACATTGTCACTCACCAGACTCCAGGGAGGCCTGTGCAACCCCAAGACACCTGGGGAAGTTGTGCATTGGCTGTGAAACAGCCCACAGCACAGCCTGACACTGCTGTCCTGCAGGCAGCTAAACGTTTAGAAACCCACAGAAATGCAAGCACATGCTCTGGGAAAGGAGCAGCCAGGAAAACGAGCAACAGCAGGAAAACACCTTTGCCATGAGAACTCAGGCTTTTTTTTTTTTGCCTTTTTTTTTTCCCATTACGTAGGAGAACCTTCTCTGTTTGTCTGCAAATTGTCTCTCCTAAGGATCAAGTTACCCACGTTCTCCCCCCAGCTCCCGACTGGAGTGAAATCACGGTCTATTTTTAGATACATGCAAAAAAAGAGATGAACCCAAAATTGTCACAGCAGCCTGCCACTAGAGACTTAGATCTCCACAAAACTATATATACATGTATATATACTTATATATATTTTATACAAGGCATCAGTTTTGATGCAGACTCTGAGCTGGCTTGAAACCAAGCTGCTCTGCTCCTACAGTATTTCTTCGGGGGTGTTAGCAGCTCACATCACATAACCAAATCAGACCCCAGCCACCCAAATGTTGGCTTTGCCATTATGGTCTTACCCAGGGGAAAAATGTCTCATGCTGCAAGATCGATTTTTCATTGCAGCTCCGGAGGGGGTGCGTGAGCTTTTTTCACTAAGCAGCAATTTGTTTTTCCAATCAGTCCTAACTACTAACAAACAGAAAAAAAAACCCTTTAATTAAAAACAAAAACAAACCACAAGCACGCATGGAGTCCACCCTCCCTTTTTTAAAGGATTTTAATCCTGTCCTTCTCCACGCAGAGTTCAAGTTCCTTATTTTTTTTTTCCTCTCCTCTTTTCCTCCTCCTTTAAATCTGGTTGTCATTTCCTTCTCATAACACTGCTGCAATGAGGAACAGGCCCTTATAAAAATACCATTTTGCCTTCCCCCTTCTTGGGCATGGAGGCCCTGCTTCACTTTCCATGCCTAGCAGGACCTTGCCTGTGAGCAGGACCATAGCCTGTGAGCTATGAACCAGAGCACTTGTATCCCTGCATGGACAGGCTGCATGGTGCCCAACTCCAGTGGAAGATGGAGCAGCTGCCATGGGAGCCAAAGGACTCAGAGGGTCCCAAGTTTTCCTACCTCCCCCTTTCCCTATTTCAGGGCGCACACATGGAGGCCACACATTTTCCTGCCTTTATTGCCCATTGCCCAGGTATGGTGCAGCTCCCAGCAGGCTGCAGAGAGCTGCCGTTAGAGAGACCTCAGCCAGAGACTGCCAAAGATCTTCATTTTTGAGTAAAGACTTCCTTTAATCTCTGGAGTCAGAGCTGGGGCTGAACCCAGTGCCCCTCACTGGAGCAGTCAGGCCCCATCCCTCAGCAGCCCCATCACTACCATGAAGTGGAAGGATTTTTTTTTTTTGGACAGACCTTGAGCTGCTTTGAGAGATGCACAAGCATTTTACACCCTATAGCACATTAGAGCCTCTTCCCTCCCAGCCCACCCACCTCCCTCCAGATTCCGTGGAGCAGAGTATCTGTCCCAGACCCCTAAACCCCCCCACCCACCCACACGCACCCAGAGTAGCAGCAACACTTTAAACCAGAGCTGCAGACACAGGGTGCAGCTTTGCCCAACCATCCCCAACGCTGGCAGTCTAAACGCTAAGCTGCTTACACGGGCTAATGGCCACAGATCCATGCTGCGAGGCGTCATCCCCGCTTCACCCCCCCATCCCAGCTCTCCTCCCTGCTTCCCACCCGTCTCCCCCCCACAAGCCAGGCACAGTGCACACAGGGTGCCTGAGTAGCTGGTGGCACAGCGCTCTGGGGGCTGCAGTCCGGGTTATCCCATTGCACCAACCCCAGAGCTGTGCACAGTTTGACATTGCCTTTGCATACCCTCTCCCTCCCACCCAGACATAGATACAGCAATGTCCAAGTCCACAAATCCAGGGAGGGTTGGCTGGGAGCTACAGTTGGCTACTGGAGAAGTCAGAGAGGGAAGAAGGTTGGTTGGTTCTCAGCAAGTGCTGCAAGGAAGAGCCCAATAGGTTCAACTTGGAACATGGAGGGACAGTGGGGGAAACAAGAACAAACTCAAAAGGAGGCAAAGGGAATTTGAGGGTCAAGGGTCTGATGTCTACAGTCTAAAGGCAGCAGTCAGCACAGGAGAGGAAAGGGGGAGTTGGTGCTCGGTGTTTTGTTTTTTTGGTGTCACTCACGATAGAAAACATATTCGGTGTAAGAGGTCCAGATCTTGTCATCTGTCTGGTCATGGGCAAAGGCACAGGTGCCCGTGGAGTTGCAAGCCACCATGTGGAAGCCAGCATCAGCCAGTCTGTCAAAGGCTTGCTCCAGGAAGGTGAACTTGAGGTAGTACCTGGAGGTGTACCTCTCCGGAGGCCTGTCCGGGTCCCGGCTCTCGTTCAAGGTGTCCCCAAAGACTTCCTTGGCCAGGGATGTCTTGCCACAAACCATGATCCGGGCCACCCGGCGGAACTTGGCATCCGTCTGGCTGTCCCTGCCCCGGGTGTAGGAGCCCCGGTAGCCGATGGTGATGAAACCTGACCTGCGGATTTCAGTGCCAGCAGCACCTGTGCTGGCAGCCACTGAGCCCCCAGGACCACCAGCTGGAGCGCTGGGGAGTGTGGCACTGGCAGAAGGTAGATTGCGTGTGGCATCAGCATTGGGCGACAGCTCCTCCGGGTCACTTTGGCATGGATCATCTCCAAGAGAGTTCTGTTTGCTGAGTTTGGGGGCCAGCATCTTCACCAGCTCTGGCAACATGAAGTACTCAGCTTCTCGCTGCAGGCGGCTCCTCTCTGGGAAGTGGTCAGGCAGCACTAGCTGCTGGTCCCTCATGTAATCCAAGATGTAACGGAAGAGGAAGCCATCCCGATCCACAAAGAACCGTCCCTTGCTGTCACGAGCCAAGGAGCGGATATTCTTCTGCGTGAACATTTCCCAGAGCAGTGAGCCAGGCACACTGACCAGGGTAGGATGGCGAGTGATGTAGACTTGTCCACCCACGTTGAGTTCAATGATCTCAGGGAAAGGGAAGTCCTCATTGGGTTTGGCACAGCTTGCACTGTCTGCCAGAGCCATCGTGATCTAACGTGTCCTTCCAATCTGGAAGAAAAAAAAAAAGAGAGAGAAAAGAAAAAAGAAAAGAAATAAAAACAGCAGCAATGTGCTGATGTTAAGCCTGCCAGAGAATGCAGCCCATCATTCTACTGATCCCAACCCCTTTCTGTAAGCAAGCACTATAGGATCTGGCTTGTGCTCTCTGGGAATCTGGCAGGCAGTTTTCCCTCCCAATTCCTGGCTAATGGAGGGGCAGCTGGAATCAACAGCATTATCCAGAGCAGCCTGCACTTCCCCGCTACAGGAGGGAAAAATGCTGCTTGCCAGAGACAGCTCTTTGGACAGGACATCTCCATCTGCAGTCCTTGATGGTCTGCTCCAGGGCTGGGGGTCACCACATTTGCCAGTGAAGGGCAGATGACACAGTACTGCTGTTAATAACAGGAAGTTATGGACTGCCATACCTCAGTCTGGCCAGTGACCTGCCTCACCCAATGCCCCGAGTGTGCCAAGGAAGAGCTGCCATCCGGCAGAGTCCTTCTGTGCGCCAGGGAGCCGAGAGGATTTGCAGAGCCCACATGCAGAGCGCCCACGGGTTTGCCAGAAAAGGAACACTAGACAGAGCCATGAAGGACAGAATGACAGTGTTTCTGGCACTCCTACTCCAACTTTGCTCCTGGAGAGCACCCAAGAGAGACTCTGGGCCAAGCTGAGTCCAGGTGAAAGATGACAGAACATCTCCGAGGGTCTGGGGCCAAGTCAAACAGTGATATAGCCTTGGGCCAGGTGCCATGTATTTACACATTGGCAAAAGCCAAGCCAATGGACTCCTAGACAGCTCTTGATACCACTAAACAACACTTACATAAACCTGGCTCAGCAGATGGAATGATGACCCATCCTGGCCAAGCCATGCTCTGTGCAAGTATTGTTTTTGGAGGCTACAGGGTGTAGGGGGTTCCCTGCTCTATTCCTAGCTACCCAGCAGTGTCGGAGCTCTGCCCTGTACCATGCAAGCACAGCCCTGGACCACTTCTGGTGCATGTAGCGAGTCCAGTGCTCTGCTTGTCCCCAGCCGTGCTGCTTTGTGGAGCCATGTGAAGGGACCCGAAGGGAAGACGCACGGAAGAGAAGGAGCAAAGACTGAACTCCTGCTCTGCGGCTGCTCTTGGGGTGCTGAGCCAAGCCTGCAGTTCACAACCCATGGCTACACCTAGCGCTTAGCGGGGGCAGGTTCAGGGATGATCCCTTTTGAATGAGTAGCAGGGCCATGCCCAAGCTCAGCCTCAGCAGCTGGAGCTCAGCTCCAAGCCTCCCTCTGCAAAGGAAGAGTATAAAGAAGGGAAGGAGGATCAAGGTGGTCCTCCTGACCTCCAGCTTCCCAAATGGGCTTCCTCCATGGCTTTTAGCCCCAGCTGCCTTTCTTCAGCAAGATGTACACACTGTTTTTTCTGTTTTCCCCAGGGAGGCCATGCAGTTACAGAAGCCCTAACAGGACCTGCCTATGACTTGAGCTCCTGCTGGCAAGAGCTGGCCACCAAGCACCACTCACAACCGTGTGTCCTGGGTGGCACTGCCCGAAACCAAAGAGCTGCAGTGGTACTTCCCACAGCAGGGCAGGAGTTTGCTGGGTAGCACATGGAAAGCCAAGCAAGCAGCCGCTCCGTGCCCAGGGCGTATGTCCTCGCAGGCTGCAACCCTTCCCTGGCGCAGGCAGAGAGGGAGCAGAAAGCCTGCGAAGGAAGACTATTTTTACATGGCCCTGACTCGGTACAGACCTGGCTCAACAAAAGGAAACTACCATCATGGCTTGAGGCAGAGCTCCTCAAGGAGCTGAGGACATTACTCCAGCCACCTCTGAGGGCTGAGAGCTGTGCATTGCTCTTCCCCACCATCCACACTGCCTAAGAGACTGTCCTCTCCACCCCATCTCAATGGGCTCCGGAACGTGCTAGGATGAGCTGGAAGTGGCTCACGCGTGTCTCACAGCAGTGTTTGCAGCCCGGAGGCTCCCGGAGCTGTCGATCCAGAGCCTGCGCCCAGAGACAGCGGGCGCCCTGTCCCACCACGCCAGAGAGAGGGGGCCCCAGCCACGCGTAGGTGGCAAAGCCAAGGGACAAACCAGCCCCGG